GTAATTTTACTCGCTACTTTTGTTAAGTTCCTGTAATAAGGTTTTGTGCTTGGTTGTTTTTAAATGTCTTTTGATATCTCCTTTTCTTACAGATGCTCCACATTCACATTCAATTTGTTCCTTTCTTCTTTCTAATATTAGTTCCTTGTATTTATTATAATATTCACTACTTTTCTGACATATATATTCTTTCTTGTTTTCTGAATTTGCTTTCCGCATATTTTGATAATGCACTTTATTGTCTTCTTTCCATTCGTTGATAGTTCTTCCAGCAACACATCTATTAACACACTCTGTATTTTTGATATAATAACCTTCTTGTTGTAGTAATTGTTCTCGGTTTTCACAAGGGTAATTTTCTATCAGTTCAATCTTACAGTTCTCCACCCCGTATTCATTGAATAGTAATGAGCAGTTTGTTTTATTGTTCCATTGCTTCGCTTTCTCATAATTATATCTATGTCTTGCCATTCTTTGACTTAAGCTTTCACAGGTGCTTCCAATATAGCATTTGTTATATCCAACATCAACAATTTTATAAATTTTACTATTTTGATATCTGTTCATACCTCTATATATATCCTATATCATCTTTTCTTTATAATGATTTATAATGGCCGTAAGGCAAAGAATTGATACTGTCAATATAAAAGCGTTTATTTTCAAAACTGCTTAAAGCTTGTTTGGTTTGCGTTATACTGTATATTTGATGTGCTTTACTTCTGATACTATTGAATGTTATTGTATCACAACTGTTATGTTTCAGTGTGTCATCATAAGTATCATAACTCAACTGAGACTGTACTTTATGTTTAACTATTCCTTTACTTTTCTTCACTTGCTTTTCTTCATTGAGTATTTTGAAACAGTATGATTTAGGTTTTAACGCTATGAAGTGTGTAATTATTTTTCCCGAGCATTCGTCCTTGAATTGTCCTAATATTTTCTTGTTTGATTTATCATAACATTTATGGTTAGGGTCATAATCACTGAAGTCCATAAATTCTTTAAGATCATTAAAATCATCATAGATGCCCTCTGATTTAGTATGTTTCAACTCCTATAAGATTTTCATTAATGACATGCCTGTATTTGAAATTAGGATTATTAACGCATTTTTGGTATCGTTCAGGTGTATCAACTAATTCAAAGTCTATATGACCCCGTGTGTTCTCTAAAGTCTTGCCGTATACAGCGTTATTCATTAATTTATACATGTCTTTCTCAAAATCGCTTGTAGCGTTCTTTCGCTTCTCTGTGTTAAAGTCAATCCACGGTTTAAGCCATTGCTTGTGTCTAAATTCTATTACTCTGTTTATTTTCTTGATTTTAAGTCCTTGTTTCAAATAGAATTTTAAAATGTCAATATGTAAAACATAATCTTGTTTATCCATAACATTTAGTATCAACTTGTTTGTTTTCTCATCTTTGGAGCATTATTAAAATGATATGCTTTGTAGGTTTCTTTCTGATAATCACTAAGCATATCTGCTGATACACTCATAATTTCTGGTGCTAATGGATAATCAGTATGTTTGTCGTGGCATTCTTTTGGATATTCTAAATCAATATTTAAAATATATCCTTTGTTGCTGTAATGACTGTCGTGATATTTAATGTCTTCTTCTGAGAAATTATCTTTTACAAACTTATTTTCTTGTATGGTAGTTTCTTACACATTGCCAGACCATAAAGATTATTAGCATCTAAATAATTGATGTAGGACGACGGCATTGTTTCATCATAAGCATCTCCCATATACTTATTATTAGCAGTTGCTTTTCTCATTGAAACCTGACACATACCACCTCTTAGTCCTTGCTCTATCATTTTATAAACTTCTTCATCGTGTAAAAGTTCAAGTTCAATTCCTGTTTTTAATAGCATCGCGTCCCAAGCAAAGTTAGGTAATGTATAATAATGGGCTGGGTCTAACTCATAATCTGTTAGACATTGTTTTCTGAAATGTTCATATACATCGGTTAATAATAATACATCGGTTTCTAAATATAAATCGTGATATTCACCAAGGTTTTTAATGTTAAAGTGTTTCCAAATTAATTTTGCTCTTTCGTAGTCAGCATCGCTTATATCTTCTTCACTTAATCTACTGTAAAAATGTTTCTTTTCTGGTAGTTCAGTGTCATTAAATTTATTGAAGTCATTACAATAATCATAAGGATAAACTCCCTTTTCTGTCAGTAAAAATAAATCTTTTTCGTTTTTAATGTATTTACCTTTGAAACTGTATTTGAAATGTTCCTGCCAGTTGTCCCTTAATTTATTATCTTCATATTTTGTTAATTTAACAAGTTTATCTAATGATGATGACAAGAAACTGAAACTATCCTTAAATTCAAGTCTGTTTCATGAAAATGTAATAAACTTCTCACTGTTCTGTGCTATTACTGATATGCTTTCTTTCTTTGTATTTAACTTTTCAAGATTAGAAATTATTAGGTGAGCATCATAGTTTTTAAGATTGTGAAAGAATACAGGTATATGATATTTTTTAAGGCAATAGTCTATATTACATTTCATATGTGCCGCTCCTCTGTATAATCCTGTAAAGTGGCAGTGGTCTGCGACCTTCTTTTTCGCTTCTACTTTGTTGTTGAAATTCTCATTACATAAACACTTTTTTGCTTCTAAATGTTTGATTTCATCTAAATCTGACATAATCATATCTTTTGGTTTTTTCATTTGTTCCATTACATCGTCTCTAATATCGTTTAATGTTTCACACAATTTATCAATACAATCTTCGCCTCTGTATAAAAATGGTTTCATTTCTCCACTATAAGCATTAACAAGGTTAAGCATATAACCGCTGGGTTTATGGTTCTGGTAGGTTCCGCGAGGCGCGCAACCTAGGGCTTCGCCGTAGGTTCCCTTTGGTTGCATAGGGTATGCTCCCTTTGGTTGCATAGGGTATGCTCCCTTTGGTTGCATAGGGTATGCTCCCTTTGGTTGCCCAAGAGGCGGTGCCTCGTAAGTCCCTTTGATGCCATCTGATGTTTCTGTTGTTAAACATTCAAAATCACCGTAAATAACAAATGGTGCTTTCAGTTTCTTGAAATGCTTTTCAAACTTCATTGATGTCCCTTCTTCTGGCATTTCTGTGTGTTGAATTTCATTTGCCATACAACCTTTTATTAAGTGAGAATTTAAAAGTTTTTCTGATTGAAAACCGTGCTGACAGTAAATACAATGAAATATCTTTGTTTTGTGATTGTTGGTTTGACTACCCATTAATCTATTATAATCTTTTATTAAAACATAATGTTCGTTGTTGTTTTGTTCAATTCGTAACAAATTATTATGACAAGATGGTCTTTCAATTTTTGTTATTCTGTCTGCTCTGATGGTTTGGTTCTCATCTTCAACATAAACATTAACTGATATAGATTTGTTATTGATTTCTTCAAAATGGTCTATGTCATCATTCGATGCTGGAAAATGTACACCATCCCATTGAATTAGACTTTCAGTAGTTATTAATTTCTTGTAGTGTCTCATATGTTGTGGATGGTCTTTCTTGAAGACTTCATACAATTTACATAAAACACAATATTTAAAACATAATTCATCATCATTTTGAATGTTGATACACGCTTTGTTCTTTGAAATCCATTCTGGTAGTTCCATATATTTACCTGCTCTGTTTGGATTGTATTTATCGTAGTGGATGTTTATTTTATGGACTTTGTTTATTATAAAACCTGACCTTGTTAGTTCTGAATTTTCAATTTGTAATTCAATGTCTTTAGGCATATTATCCAGTGCCTTTTTCAAATCAGCAATGTTTAGAATGTTGTATCTCCTGCTCCTCATTGTAAATTTTGTGGGTGCGTCTGTTTCGTGGTGGTCAAAAAGGACATCAACATCAATAATAATTTTCATTGATTTTTCCTTTTCAAGATATTCTGATAGTCTCTTTTCTTGCCATTTCACCTATGTAAATCCTTTGTATCCCTTGAATGGTATGTTGGTTATTGAATATGTGTTGGCGTATCGTTTCAATGCTGAAAATGTCTCTGATGTTTTCGCTCCTGCTCTAAACCTGTACTTCTGGATTGTTTTTAATGCCTCTCATTGTGTTTGATGCTTTTTTTAGAAGATTAAATCGTTTGAAACCTTGTGTGTTGCTGACTTGCTTGAGTTTGTTTTGAAGTGATGTTGATAATGGTTTGTCTTTGTTATAATAGTATTCTTTGTTGTTGATGATTAGTTTTTTCAATGGTTTGTTATTCTTCCCTGTTTTTATTTGACCTTCATTATTGGATATTAGATAATCAATTTACTGAACCCGTGCTGTAATCCCCTGCCATTTCTCTATACTATATATGGTAATATTTCTTTAAGTCTTTTTGGGTGGGGGTTTGGGTTGTGGGTTTGGATTTTGTGGGTTTGGGTTCAATGTTGAAATGTGGGTTTGGGGATTTGTTTGAAAATGAAACTGATGAAGTTGATGTGGTTGTTGATTTTGGGGGAGTTGTGAAATGGTGGATTTTGCCCTTGTTTTGGTGAGTTAGGATTTTCAACCAAACCCACAGTCGCGAGATTTGCGACCAGCAACTCGCAATCGCGAGATTTGCGACTGGTAGTCGCGAGATTTGCGACTGGTAGTCGCGAGATTTGCGACTGGTAGTCGCGAGATTTGAAAACAGCAATCCACAGTTGCTCATTTTGTCGTGGTTAGTTGCCACCGTCGCGACCGTCAGTTCCATCCTACAAACAAAGCCTTTGAATAAATTGGTGTAATTAAAAATGTCAAAAGAAATACACCGTCCAACACCCCAGAAAGCCGTAAAATGGTCTGAAACCTGAACCTTGAAAATGTCAAAATGTTAGACTGTTATTAAATGAAAAAAATGTAAAAAAGTTATTGATTTCCCCAAGAACATTTAAAGGGATAATGGGTATAAATATTATGGAGGAACAAAATAAGCGAAAATGTAGTTGGTGTAAAAAGTCTAACCCAGATGTAGAATTTACTGATGGTAGAAAACTTTGTAATGGATGTGGTGAGAAGAGTAGAGAGAAACATAGACAGAACCGAGAAAAGGAAAGGCAACAGGCAAAAGAACATTATGAAGCATACCGTGAAGACATATTAGAAGTTAGAAAGCAATACCGAGAACAAAACAGAGACAAAGTTTTAGAACAAAAGAAACAGTATAGAGAAAGACACAAAGAACAAATCCAACAAGCACAGAAAGAATATTATGACAACAATAGGGATGTTATTTTGGAAAAACAGCGAGAACGGTTTAAAGAGAGAATAGAATGCCCTGTGTGTAAACCATTGATATTGAAACATATGAAATCAAGACACGAGCAAACAAATAAACATATGAAACAAAACAATAGAGAACATGAAGCAGCATAATATTTTTATATGATAATACTTGTAGTTATGGGTAGAACAAACAACTCAAGAACGAAAATGTTAGGGTTTTTTTGGTGATGGAGAAAATGAAGAAGAACACAAATTAGATTGATAATTTTATTTTTTTAATATTTTCAATCTTGGGTAGGCGCTGTCCGCAAGGAAGAACGTGTTAAACATTTACAAGAATTCTACTATTAACCTTAATGAGAAAACAGAACAGGAGCGAAGATAGGTTAAAATTCAATCTTGGAAAAATTCCCTGAAATTGAACAAATCCTTCCCTACAGGCCCCCTTTATACTATTTTTTAGGTGCGCCACCCATTTTGGGCTATACTTCAGTGGGGATTGGGATGTGGGTACAGGATTTTGACCCACGGCCAGATAGGAAAAATCATAGTCCAGTCTCCCTAAGGTGCCAGGAGCTCGTTGCTGCAAGGCAAGCGGCCTCCCAATCAAGGCAATGAGCTTCCCTGGTGCGGATGGGGCCCCTTTTGCTGTCGCTACAGATTTTTGTTTGCCACACGGGGGCTGCAATAAGCCACAAACAAGGCCTTATTAAGGGCTTAATGAGGGCTTATTTGGGCTCCCTCCCCCTCCCCCTGCCCCCATGACACATGGCATGATGAAGAAACATTTTTTTTCCTAGGCATTGTCAGGAGGGTTCCAAAACTTTAAGAGTTGCTGTTTTGTTGTTGTTGTCCTCTACTATGATGTCCATTTCTGGTACTATTTCAGGGACCCTGCAGTGGCCCTTGTTGCAGGGATGGCCAATTATTGTTCCCATGGTGTTTCAACAACTCAAATGGGGCCCCGAAGCAAATGGCGAGTGTATGCCGTTCCGCTTTTGGCTTCCCTTAAGAAAACAAAACAGCAACGCAACAAACAACAGAGCGATCCTTTAGTAAACTGAATGGTCTTGGCTGCCATGTTTCAACATATAGCAGGACCAACTTTTCCCTCTTTGTGCAGGAAAATAAAAACGGAGGACACCACTGGCTACCCCAACAGTTCCCGCGCCAGAACTGCCTGGATCCTGTGTGGGACGCCAGCTTTGAGCTGCTGGTGACTTTGGAAGACACCGTGGAGTTCACCGTCAGCGACTTCGACAAAATCGGGCCACTTGGATCGATGAGGGGAGCCCGCAGCCAAATGGGTTGGGCCCAAGGTTAAGAATCTTGGGACGAAGACCCCATTTTGAGGTTTCCTCACCCTGGAGATCCCTGTAGAAAATTCAGACCCAAAAGTATACAGAAGGAGTTATGGGTAATATATAAGGAAGCCTCCTAACCACAAAGCCCGCTGTGTGGGTTTTCCTTGGGTCTCCCTTCAAATTTCTTTCCCACCCAAGTCATCAACTACCTGGAGTCTCCATGACCCTCAAAAAATGGGGTCATTACCCAAAATAATGGGTCATGGATCGATTTCTAAGGGGTCATGGAGACTCCAGGTACTGCCTTTGAATTCTATTGTTCAGCCGCCATGAGCATAATGGCCTTGGCACCCAATTTGGAAATATGCAGCCAAGCATGGCTTGACTGGGGGTGGATGAACTACATCCATTTGCCACCTATTTTGACGTTCACCAGGGAAGCCCCACCGGCCCCACCCTTCGGATGATTCGGATGATCCTTCCGGTTTCACCCGCCGGGAACCGCCGCGCAGGAAGGCGGATCTGTTGGGCCGGGTCTCCGTGAGCGCCAAAGAGCTGCTGGAGGGTTTCGAGGAGGAGCTTGTGCTTTTGGAGTCCACCAAGGACACGTCCCAAACAGCCGGGGGGGGGGGGGTTCTCCAAGGGATCGGGTGCTTCCATTCGCTTAAAAGAAGGACCGTTTTAGAACATGTGTTTTTGTTGGCGGCATTTGCTTAAGAACATGCTTTGTGTCTTCCATGTGCGTTTCAGAAGCGTGTTGTTTACTTTTCCTGGTTGGTCTTATTGCTTAAGAGCTTTTGGTTGTTTCAACGTGTTGGTTTTAAAGGCCATCGGTCACTACTGGAATTTGTGTTTTTGCCTAGCAGGCTTAAGCAAACGGAAGGTTTAGCGTAGCGGAGTGGGGTCAAAGGAATATGGGGAGGAACCCTTTTGGGGACATCTGGGTATTTTGGGGTAAAATAAAAAATAGGGGATCCCTTGTTAGGACTGAGGGTTTCTCGAGAAGGAATGGATTGGTGTCCTTTTTGGCCTCAAGTATCGCAAGGTTTGGCTTCAAATATCGCAAGGGGGTCCACCATGAGGTATGACCTGTGGTACACGTGTTGGCCCTGAATCTATTTCAGAATAAGGAAAGAGTCCCCTGATGAAATCGGAGGACAGTGGAGGTTATGTTTGTTGTAGTTGATGCATCTCCGGAAGGAACGCACAGCACAGCCTTTCTATCTCGACTGCTGTCTATGTGAGATGTCAGGCCTTGAGCTCAAATGCAATGAGAAGGTCAACGCCATGCAAAAGCAAGAACACCATTGCGAATTGGTAAGCGCGAAGCCCATAGGAGCCATGGGCGGCGTTTCCAAACATCCCCGTCACCCACTGAGAAGTGTATTGATGCCAATGCCCGCCAATCTCTAGTGAATGGGAGTTTTGGCGATAGCCTATCCCCTTTGTGTCCCTTAAAAAGGGTACTCATATCAGAAACCGTCTTTGCGGAGGAAGCACACAAAAGGCACCGCAGCTATGTGATGGGTTGCTCAAACCGGGGGATGCCTATCTGCAATCCGGACCGGGACGTCAATGCTAGGGAAACCACACCGTCCCAGTCAGGACTCCTGCATTGTTTGACACACCCACCTGCAACCTGGTGTCCTGTTTGGTTCCTTTCAAAGCCGAAAAAGGAGTTCCAGCAAACGCCACACCCGTATGGAGCCGTGGGAAGTACCCATCACCAAAGAGGATTTGTCCATGGCATCACCAGGTGTGTGTGTGTGTGTGTTGAGAAACCCAGGCTTCCTTTTCAAAGCCCCACATGGTTCCCAATTACCAACAACGAACCACGCCTACTAGGGGGTTAGAATTTCAATGAGGGACACTGTACCCTGAACGACACACCCATTTTGCAAAGCTACACAAATTCCAGAACCCAAGTTCCCAAGCAAAGGACCTTCATCGGTTTGCCCTGATTTCTTCATGTTGGTTGGACTCCCCTTTTGGCTGTTGAAGGGAACACAAAAAGGAAACCTTCTATGGTGATAGCTCTAGTATGTATTTGGGGTTGGTGGGGATGGTCATCAACCCATCTATAGAGACTTAGATTAATGATCACATCTTGGGTTTTCTTTTGGTGGGGCGAGTTTCTCTTGGCCTTTAAAGGGCAACACAAATTTGGAGAATCCAGCTACTGATTCAGCAGTCAGTGGCCAAGGCCCGGCCATGACCTTTCCCATGCTTCTGAAACGGCATCAGATTCTGCGGCTGTTTGCTTGTCTCCTTCGCTGTGCTGCCTTACTTTTTTAATCCAGTGTTCACCAGTTTTGATTTGTGGTTTGGATCCAGTTTCTTATATTTGCTTTTTTGTTCCCAATCAAACCGTCTATCATCGGTAGTTAGTACATACCCATTGTTCAATTGTAACAAGACATCAACCAACGCGCGTGCGCAGTCTAGAGTGGCTGAAGACTCCCGAATCGAATGATCAGAATTCCCGTCGAAGGGCCTCTATATGCCCCTATGCTGCAGTGAAGCACCGTTTGCCCAATGAGCAGTGTTTGTTTTGGCTAGGTATTCGCTCAGTCGGGGGGGAAGCCTTCTGCGGAGGCGCCGCGCTGGCAATTCTGGTGGGGCAAATCGATCGCATAGGCAGTGCGCGTAGGCTGTTCAAGGTTATCCTGCGTAGGCCGCTGAGAAACGTCTGTGTAATTAGGAACTCCGCGTGGGCGCATGGCTGCGAGGATATAGGGCTGATGCGCCCGAATAACACACTGCTCAAATTATGACTAGGACCACCTGCCCCATTGATACGCAGGTTCTTTGGCGCTGCTATAAAACTGCGGAGCCCTTTCCTAATTAAATTGCTGACTTATTGCTGACTTGCTGCCGAACGGTGGCAAGCCCTGACTTAGAATTGACAAATCTCTTGCCAGAACCAGGTTTTCCGAGTGTGGTGTTTTGTCAACTCCGCCCTTGGCCTCTCTGTGTTTTCGTGCACATGTAGCTCTCTTCGCGAACAAAACGCAACATAAGGATGTCATTTGCCTTTTTGTTCTGCATCACGTTTACTGCCAGACGCCGAGGCACAAATCATATTCATGGTCAAACCATCCTCGGACTGTGGGCAAGGAGAACTAGTTGATGGGAAGCCCTTTCAGTGGTCTTACACAAGTGTGAGGAAATGATAACGAGCTTGCCTGGAGGTAAAGCGATTTCACCAATTCGGAAGGTCCTTTCCTCTGTGATTCCTCATTTCCAATTTGCAAATTATAGAAGCTGCGCAGAAAAGCGGGAATTTCCGCAAGCCTTGCACCCGAAGGACAAGCGCCCCAAGGCGCTCCTCAAGGCCAGGTAGCGTTTGCCGGTGGTTGGGGGTGCGCATGTGCTGTGACATGACAAACTTGCAACTATTGGCCTTTTTCCCCCAGGAGCCTTTGCCCAGATAGGCTCCGCAGTGGCTCGGAGCGACTCCTGGTTAGTCAGGGTTTGCAGAAGAGTTGCACGGCTTGCCGTTGGGGATATCGAATGGGCTTAGTTGGGGGATAGCCACTAATCATTGCTTTCCAGATGGACAGCGCACAAGATGGAGCCAAAGCACTTCTGACCAGGATGGCAGTGGAATCGTAGATGAGTCTTTTGCGGAGATTTCACAAGCGCCTCACGCCCTTGTCGGTCGCAAGGGCCCAAGCAATTTGGAGTTGGGGGGTACTCTAAACCAGATTAGGCCATGGTCAAAGGAGATTCATGTGTGCAACTATACATTTAGCCCTTCCTATTTACCATTGGGTCCCCCCCGTTGGATGACTGACCCTCATCGGCGAGCAACAAGCAGTACATGTGCCAGCAAGCCACCAGTTTCCTTCAGGACTGCCCTTGCGCGGGCGTTGGACGTTTCTTTGTTACTTGTTTTTACAGGTTTCTCATCATGTGGGAAGGCGTCCAAATTGCAGGAACACCAAAACAGTAGTTGCGTTAATTTGCTTCAGAACATTTGTTAAACGTCCCTGTTGGTTTTCGAGAGAAACTATCACCACTGCAGATACATTTGTTTGAATCCAACCTAAGCAGACTACCCCCAGAACAAACTCTCACACAAACACGCAAGCCTATGTGATATTTGCTCATCATCGCTGAACTGCGGTATGTAGGCAAATGAAGCATAGTGTGTCATTCGCAGACTTCACAAAGCAAGAAGCACATAATGCAAGAGTGTTGAAAAAAATTGCGCAAGCTGTTTGTATTTGCTTTGGCACGAAGCCGAAGCACCCAGGTTTGCATTTGAGCATTACATTGGTTCGGACAACACGGAACATGCTGTCTCTGCCAATTCGTAGGGGTAGCTTCGGAAGCCCACACCAAAGCAATGCGAGTCACCAACTGAGAGGAAGCTGAATTTACGTTCTCCCACGTTGGGGGTGGCATTCTAGGGATGGCTTCGGAAAGGAGCAGCCATGGAAGTTTAGCCATGGGGATATGGGGTTCTCTGTGGGAGCCATAAGCTGCGATAGTTGTCACGTTTGCTGGTCGTTTGACATACTTTCCCTTGAGGTTGGTGGAGATTTGGGGTCTCCTCCACACTGTTGTCATGATGTTGCATATGTTAGAGTAGACTAAATATGACACAGCTTCAAAATGATGTATGTTTGGAGTGCCCGAGAAGATGGCAATCAACCCTTTCCTAGGCAACTAATGGCCATGGCCCACATCCGGACCAGAGTGGTCAACCATGGCACCTCGGAAGTTGTCAAGCGGAGAAGCCAGGAGAGATGATGTTGGATGGGGTGCTTGGTGTGTAAGAGGGCTGACAAAACGTATAGACCACAGATTGGCTCGTTTAAAACCTCCCCAGTTCCGCGGCACCCTTATCCCTTCTTGGTTGGTTCCCCAGTAGCAAGCGTTCAACACCATGCAGTAAAGGGTCTGTGTGTTCCACCAGGAATTCGGAGAACCACCAGCAGCCACTTTCATGGGCCCAATGCAAAAGCCTTTCTCGCATGGACCTTACATTTGAGGGAGTAGATGTGGGGGATTCGTTGAGGAAACTTTAGGAACTTTTTCAACACGACCCTGAGTACCGTCCAGATTCCAAATACCTGATATTTGCGGAGTTGGGAATGTTTGCACTGACACAGTCCCTGGAACCGAACCCATCACCGTAATCTTTTGAAAGAGGACTTGAGCCCACCAAAAAACGCCCCCGCCTTGCAGGCCGGCGAGGAGCAGGCAGGGCTGTTTAGATCGCTGATCGGTGGCGTTTCTGGTTGACCCTTTTGCGGCCACATCGGGACCCCTTAGGGGGCAGTTCCCCTTAGGATTTTCGTGTTGACCCTTTTCTTGTTGACCTTTAGGTGGCTAAGGAAAATGCAGCGCAGATCCCAAATAGGGACCCTGTCGTTTTGAACAACGACTCTCAATTTTAGGTCCCCCAGTAGTGCCCTTTTACCCTTTTGTTCGGGGGAGGGTTCCCCTACTAAAGTAGACTGCAGAAAAAAAATACGGATATACCCTTATTCTATCCTCTCTGGAGGACCTAACATATTTTTTGAGGCATTGCGTGGTATGAGTTCGTTTCAGAAAGCGAGCAGCCAGCACAAATCCCGCCTCGTTGGCCGCAGATGCACTTGAGCGGTGTGGGGGTTTGTGGTGAGGTCCTGGCCAATATGTTTTCCGAGTTTGCCATGGCCAGTTTCTTGGTATGAACTCGGAAAATAGGACATGAACGCAGATCAAGCACCTAGTGTAGTATGCGGAAGTCGCCATGTGCTATGACTTGAGCAATGTGGAAAGCAAAAGGACAGTAGCCATCATTTTGGGAAGTGGCCAAGCTAGTGCGAACACAATCACTGTTTGCAAGATCCTGCTCTTGCCTTGGCCGGTTGGGACCAGCAAATAAGCAGGGACTTGTCCATACGCATCAAGCGAGGGAGCCAGCTTCCAAGCAGCCATGTGGCTGTGGGTCAAAACCAATGGTACCTTGTTGGGGTAGGTGCACCACCCATTTTAGGCTATTTTACTTGGGATTGGGATGTTGACTGGGGGTACGATTTGGCTTTTGACCCATGGCCATGTTGGTGTCTCAGCTCAGCCAGGCCTTCCTCCACATCCGCGCGGAGGGCATCGCCTCTCTGCCGACCGCCGAAGCGCCCACCGCGGCGGCGGCGCCGCAACCGCCGGCGCCGCCGTCGCCGCCGTCGCCGCCGGCAGAAGTTCCGGCGGCGGAGACCGCCGCGCCGGAAGGCGGGCGGGACGAATCACGCGTTTTCATTCCAGTTGGGACATGGGGGCGGCATATTCAGACATTGGATGTACAAATATATATATATATATATATTATAAAACATATATATATATATATGTGCTACAGGCATGAAAGGAGAACAATTTGACGTCGGCACAACAGCCTTTAACAAAGTATTGCCGATACCATGCGCTGAATCCTACTGTCGCAACCCTTCGCCGGGTAAGGCATACGGAGACATGCTCGTTCTGCTTGCGCTTGTAGCGAGAAAAGGTGAAGATATGCCGGGAAAACGAAAGAACAAACAAGTTGATATTTTCTTATTTAGGAAACACCGAAATCGCAGCTGAAATGGAATGCTCGGCCTTTCGTACGCGTGGCACATTTCACTGTTTCTGCCCAATCTCACTATACATATATATATATACACACACAACACACGTGACCATGGGGATCCCAGCTTCGGCTTCGTTTGAGATGATGTATACGTACCTGGTATATCTTGAGGTTCCGAAAAGATAACTATGTTATGAACCTATCTGACTGACTCAACGGCATCCGGGTATTCCAAAGTTTGGATTCTGCACTCCCAGCAACATCATGTCGGTCTGAACGATGGAAGCATAGGATCTGGGTGCGGAATAGCTGACCATGTGCAACATATCCCCCAGGGGAAGCCACAAGCAGGTTGATCTCACATGGATTTGTTGTTTGTTTAACCACCTGCATCCAGGGATGACTTTTGTAGTCACGGATGACATTGGAAGGCATGCATTTGTTACAACAAGAAGCACTGGTCAACACGTGAACCCTCTGGGAGGCAAGAGTTCCGACGATGAGGCGCTGGGTGGGGGTGGAGGCTTGGGCAAATCGGCGAATCCTTGCCATTTGGTTGGAACTTTGCTATTCCTTGTGAACATGCGTGTGTTCCCGCTAATTCAGTGTTCCTGCTAATTCATCGGTCCACAAACGCATCCTTTCCCACTAACCAGCAAAATGATATACAGTGCTGGTGGGTGGCCATAGCTCCATGCCGAGCTTTGACCTTGTACCCCGTGTTCGGTCCACTTTTGACGGTTGCAAAACGTTGGGCGGCTCCAGATGATAAATATGTGTCCTTCCACGTCCTTTGCGCTTGGGGGAACCATCCACCTCTAGTGGCTCTTTACAGGTGGATTGATCTACTTGCGCAGGTGCGTTGGGGGACTGCTGGGGTTTCGCCGCGTTTTGGGGACCTTGACATCATTTCTCGTTTTGGCCCCTGGATTGGTTGGCTAACACTGCACTTTTTGGTGCACATGCCCTCGCTGGACTGGGCAACTAGTCCAGGAGCGGTTTTCCCTCATGACGTTATAAGGGCATGAATAATGAATTTTCGTGCACCATGGTCGAAAGACCTATTCCAGCCTGGGCTCATGCCTTCATGTGAAGGTGTGTTGTGGTTGAGGTGTGCTGGTGACACACCAAGAAAAACAACAAAACAGAGCAGCATGAGGACCAGTCGCCTAATGGATAAGGCGTCATTGTCTCGGATGGGCTGCCATCTGCAGAACACATGAAAATGGTGGTTCGAGTCCACCCTGTCCGTGTTTGTTTTTCTTTTGTTTTTCTTTTGTTTTTCTTTTGTTGTTGTTGTTGGTTGTTGTTGGTTGTTGTTGGTTGTTGTTGGTTGTTGTTGGTTGTTGTTGGTGGTTGTTGTTGGTTGTTGTTGGTTGTTGTTGGTTGTTGTTGGTTGGTTGTTGGTGGTTGTTGTTGGTTGTTGTTGGTTGTTGTTGTTGGTTGTTGTTGGTTGTTGTTGGTTGTTGTTGGTTGTTGTTGGTTGTTGTTGGTTGTTGTTGGTTGTTGTTGGTTGTTGTTGGTTGTTGTGTGTTGTTGGTTGTTGTTGGTTGTTGTTGTTTGTTGTTGTTTGTTGTTGTTGCTGTGACCAATTAGGTTGCCGCACAGCGAGTGCTTGCGGAATGTAATTTTCACCACGCCGGGTGACTGGTAGAAATACCCGCCCTGAAGCACAGACAAGATAAGTCACCACAGCCCCTTTTTCAGGATAGCCTTCGGCCTAACGAACGCCCCGAAATGCCCTGAATCAGGCAGTTGCTGGCTTGTGCGATTGTTGCCTAGGGGAACCAGCTCGTCAAAGGGCGTTTTGACCTGGCTCACACGGACGAAACGAAGCGACCTCGCAAAGGTTTGTGTTTACCAAGGTTCTTTCCTTGACTTGAGGGCTTTGACTCAGACCGGCACGTTGTGACCCGTCTCCCTACCAATCAAGTGCCGGTCTTCCACATCTTGTACCAACACAGGTGCCGGTGCCACTTTATCAAGCATTGCAACCTGCAGAATTTCACGAACGATCGCTTTTGACTTGGATGCCGTCCCCTCATGCAATCCGGCATAGCTCAAACTGCGCACCTCATTGTGACATGAAATCGGCATAGAGTCAACCGCAAGGGATGGCTTAGTTCGGGGTCAGAACCTCATTCCCTGAGAGCCAACAAACCAACAAACTCCCGTCAAGGACGGAAGTGGAGTCTTCCCAAACCTCTCCACTTCCATGATTCTTGGAAGGAGGGGGACCGCCCAAGGCACGACCAAAGCCGGCAGGCGTTGCGGCGCCTGCGGCGGGAGTCCATCCAGAGCGGCCTCACCATCCGCGAGGCGGCGTGACGAAACGGCCGTCCGGCTCCGAGTGTGTGAGGCCCCTTGTATACGTATATATATATATATATCATTGTATATCTATACTGCATATTCATTTAGGGGGTTCAATTTGGGGTGATTCAGGTGTTAGGACAGCCAATAGCCAGAAATGAGAGAAACAGGAGTATGAGAAAGTCCTTCACAAACATCCTTGACTTAGTTTGACGGTTGTCTCCGCTTCCATCACCTGCCCGTTCGAGCGTCCAAGTTGCACACCTTTTCAGGGTCTACGGTTTTGAGACAAACCTGGATGGGTATGAAATTTAACTGGAGCCCAATGGCGGACATTCGGCGAGAGTTTCTGTCCACCGACAACTTTGAGGGGTCCCTATCAAACCTTATGGGATTTGATGTAAAAAAACGGGAACCTCCAAAACCTTGCCGGTAGCACCCAAGAATTCACCCGGCCCAGATTGGTCATACTGCAAGTTGTAAGAGGGCGAACGTTTGATGGTTTATCGGCTTCGCTTGTCCCTGATATTGCCGCGCAACTAAGTGATAAGTGGGGAAGAAACAGCACAATGGGTTAGCCAAAATTGCTGGCAACACAAGCAAAGGTGTTCATGACCCTCATGGCTCAAGCGCCCACTCAGACTCTACCATTTGGAACCATACCTCCAAAGACCAAGCGTCAGAGCCTTATTTAGTTCTGCCCTTGACTGTGTTAAGAGAGTGGGCTCGCCAGCCCGCCGTTTCAGAACATTTTATCTCATGGCCATGCTGTGTTTCGAGTTGCCACCCAGGGGCCCGGTTATGATGCGAATCACAATTTGGGTGCGGGGGTTTTCTTGTGGAGTCGTTACCGCCTTTTGCAAGGGGGGGGGGGGTGAAAGTTGAAAGGGAAACGCAAGGGAAACGCGTTGTAGGAGTGACCAAAGGAAAGCATCAACACAAGGGAAACCAAGCTGAACTAGTTGCTAGATTTAGAGTATCCCGATCGGAGCCTTCAGAAAGTGGGTCGCGGCAGGTGCGACAGTTGTCTGCAGCAGAGCTGGAGCGGTGGCTGGAGGCCGAATTAAATTCACAAGTCGAGTAAGAATTGGAACCTGGCTGAGGGGTCCTGCAAGACGATTTGCCTCCAAAAAGGGACCCTTTGCTGGGTCCTCATGTTAGTGAACAGGAGCGTATAATTCGCTTGAAAGCCAGTTACATCATCCACTCTTTGGACCAATCGTCGCCGACCTTCCTTCGGGGTGATGTTTGATGGGGAAAATTTGGGGAGCCGTGAATCTTGATCCCAAAATGCTTCAAAGCTGAACTTGAAGTTACTGTCTTCGTTTGGTGCATGAAAAACAGACAAGAAGCACTTAAAACCTTCGGCAATCGGTGAGCATAAATCCAGTGTGAATACTGGCGAAGTCGTTCTGAGTGATGATGCGTGCCGAACTCTGGAACATTGCTAGACATCTTCCAAATCCTGCTTTTGCCATGGCTAGCTTTCGGAGTTCACAAAAATGTTTGCACATGTCAGCTCCTAGCAAAATTGCTCTTCGCAGGTGTGAAGGATGCTTTCCATATTCACTATATGCCCCGTAGATCCAAATTCTAGAGCTTAAAACTACTTCTTCGGTGATTAACAGGAGCTACCTAATGGAGAGCTCTGTAAAGCGCTTAGGATTGAAGATCGAGCTACCTGAGTCCTAAGCAATCTTAGGTCCCAGAATCAGCCTTTCTGGGTTTTGGAGTCCAGTTTGAAGATTTAGAAACCAGAGTGTGAAGCAAGCCAAGTATTTTTTTCTTTTCACAGGCTGAAAAGGTGGGTCTTGGAGGCAAAATCCATATTTGGATTAGTTCGAATCCATAAATAAACATCATTTTTCTATATATATATATATGTATATGTGTGTGTGGACCCCTTTGTCAGCTGGCAGCTCCAACACGGCTCTGCCTGCTGGACAGGGCCGCCCAGCAACCCCCCCCCCCACTCCAACGCTCATCTTGGCAGATAAAATGGAATAGATGTAAATCAACCATCCATCCTGAGTGTATCCATGGGCCAAACAAAGTACACCCAAAGCTACGAATTTTGATTGTTGTTGGTTTAGTGTATGCAGATTCACCAATAGGCCCACCAATAGGCCGGGCTTTCAATGTTTATAATACATTCCATGTTGAATTGCCCCAAGCCAGATTCAAGCCCAGCGATTCCCCTTGGCAACTCAGCCACCCCTGTGTTTAAGTCTGGGGAGAATCAACAAGTAGGTGTCTTCGAAGGTACCCTTTTGGAGGTACCTGTTTGGTGGTTGCTCTAGACAGAAGCCAAGAGGAAACCATTTGGGGTTGCCATCATGAGACCGCGAGGCCCGGATTGAAGATCCCACCAAATGGGTTTGTCTTCAAATATGGACCCCAAAATAGTTGGGTTTGTTTGGTTTGCCTGTCAAAACCAAAAGGGAGGTCTCACCAATAGATTTTACTTCGAGCTATCCCCTCCTTGGCATGTCATTGTAGCAGCCTAGAGTCTGGCACGAGCCTCAAGGACCATTTTGTCACATCTATCGGAGTCTGTCATTTGCGGGAACTTCAAGCTTTGCTATCTGGGTTTTTTCACAAGTCATATCACAAGTCATGGCAACAATGATTTGATTTTCTGTTGGGGTCCTTTTAAATACAAACCAACTCGGGGAAAAAATGCCGCCATGTTGGCTGCGGCCATTTGGATCAGGCCAGGAGCTTTCCGAGTTGCCCGAATGATTCGGGCGGGCCACTGAAGCTGGCGTAGAGTCGTCAGTCGCAACTCCGAATGGGTCGGTTGGCTGCAACCTGCCGAACTTTAAATAGAACCCTGGTTCAACCAAAAGGACGTTCCCAGATGGAGGCCCTGCCTGTCCCTCCATAAAAACCACACCCAATTCCCACACAGATGGCACTTGGACCCTTGGGGATCACTTGGCGGCTATTGGGGGTGGATCTTTAACCTTGAACGTTTGAGGAGCACTTGTGGATCGCTAACCTTTATTGTTGGGGAACATCTATACATACACACCACATATATATATATATATACATGCAAATATGTGTACATACATATATATATATATAGTTATTTTGCAGGAGGAGCGGCAGCGCCGGGTGCTCCGCAGCTCGCGCCGGGACGAAGAGCGCACCACTCGCAAGGCAAATCTGGAGGAGGAGGACGCGTGTTAACCACGGCTTGTCTTCGGTGAGAATTGGGTGGTTCCACCTGGGGGAGCTGCAAAAACAGGGGAGCCCCAACAGTGGAATACGTGATTTGAGGTTATTGACGTTCCTGCAGAGCCCGAACAATGGGTGAGTGAAACCTCCTTTGGTTTTCCGAGCCAGGGGGTTGGGGTGAAAAGTTTGCTGGTTCTGGAAACAGAGACCCTCAAAATGACCCTCGCGGTGGTTTAAAGAGGTTCCCACCCGATAGTACTTCTGAGAACCCCTCCCTAAACCAACAGTAGACTTATTCTTCCACCTAAGCGACTAGGTTTGGCCATGATTATGAGTCAATCAACCCCGACGACTCTACTTACCCTGGATATACCTCAGATACTAAGCAGGTGGAACATCCAAGCGTTTTGCTGGTTCTTACAAGGCTATGCTAGTCAATGGCCTTACTGGTTTGAACATCCTCAAGGACTGAGGGCTTAGTTGCGGACAAGTTGAATAGGCCCATTTGTTTCCATGAGTGGCCCAGGGAATGTCTTTGAACATGACGTAGTTACAGGATGTCACAGGGATGGCCACTTTTAGTACCACAGAAAGGGCGGTTTTTCAACTTCTGCGCAGTTTTCAAGAAGGGACGCCTTTTTCTGAATCCCGAATGGCTGTTGCCGGGGCTGGGCACACCAAGTTTGATGTCTGACATTTGGTGGGTACCGGTGGAGCAATTTGGGATGAGATTGATTTGCTTCCCGCTAGGAATTGATTGAACATGAGGTTCCCACCCGGTTTTCCTGCCTTATCCGAAGATGCCAGTACAAAGTGGATTGAGATTGGGACGTAAATGGACAACGCGAGCATGGAAGGACATGGACAGCAGAAAGGATTAGGTGTGTTTTTGTGGTGCTTGTGAAATCTCATTTACGTGGTTGATGTCTCTTGCACGGTAGCAGCTAGTTATCAGCTTCTTTTGTTTCTGCGCAGGTAGTGGCTTTGATGGACCTGTACCACGCCAGAGCAAGCGCTGAGTACCCTTCTATTGAAACTCACTTTTCTTGGAAGGATGCTGTCACACATCCTAGCCCGGTTCAGCTTCCAATGCATTTCCACATGCCATAGCAACCAAACTAGTGCGAACCACGATGCTGCACAGCCCAGGTCCGAATTTCAGGGCTAGTTGCCTCATGCCACTGTTTGCCAATCTTTGCCACGAGGGTTGGTTTCCAAACGAGCTCAGGTTCCCTCCGGGGCGAGTTTTGGCACATCCCAAGCGACTCAGTGCCAGCACGGCGCACCCACCTTCACGCGTTCGCGTCAACGCCGAGCCGCCCGAAAACGCAGGAGGGGCAGTGGTGGTCGCCGGACGCTTCGACCCGCGACTGCGCCAAGTGCGGGGCGGAGCTTCCGCTGGTCGCCAAGTTCTGCAGCGACTGCGGTGCAAAGCTTGGAGCGGAAACTGCGGATTGAAAAGCTATATGGCCATGGGTCAAAATCCCGTACGTACCCCCAGTGAACATCCCAATCCCCACTAAGATAGACTAAAATGGGGTGTGCACCTACCCCAAAATGGTACCATTGGTTTTGACAGCCATACGTGTGTGTTTTAGTCGAGATGAGTACCTGGTGTTTTGTGTTGTTGTTTGCTTTTCCGAGAAAGCAAACGGAAAGCGCAGCACATTCTTGCCTGGTCCACCATTTTGCAACAAACTCAATGTGGGTGTGTCTTTTTTGGAGGGTACCCTGTTTGCGGGTTGATTTACAGAGAAACCAAAGGAAACAAACCATCTTGGGGTTTCCTCATTTTGAGAGAAGCCCATATCTATGCTTCGATCTAATCCGTGTGACTGGTAAATGGCCAGGGTTGAAACAGCGTCCGTTTCGTAGAGCTTTCTTTAAATTCGGAGATTACACCGATGCAGCGACTCACGGTCAAACTGCATCCTAGAATCGCACCAATGTGCGTAGCATCCTAGCCGCGTGAAAAAGCTGATTCGGCCACCGCATGGGCCACCCAAGGATTCCCGCGGATGGACGGCGGATCGCTCGACGTCGCTTGAGGTGCTCCTTGGAACTGGCAGCCAGAGGCTGGAGGGAGAATTGGGGGATGGCGAGACAGGTCTGCCCTCCAATATGTACATACATATGTGTATATATATGTATATATTATACACAGACATAAACATGTATATATCTATGCAATAAATCAATACAGGGTATATAGACATATATTGTGCATATATATATATATACATATGTGTGTGTGTGTGGGTGTTTGCGTGATTGTCTGTTTGTGCGTTAGTGTTACTGTGTGTTGTTGTGCGTATTTGCGTATTTGCGTGTTTGCATGTTTGTTTGTTTGTTTGTTTGTTTGTTTGTTTGTTTGTTTGTTTGTTTTGTTTGTTTGTTTGTTTGTTTGTTTGTTTGTTTGTTTGTTTGTGTGCTCGTGTGCTTGTGTGCTTGTGTGCTTGTGTGTTTGTGTGTTTGTGTGCTTGTGTGCTTGTGTGCTTGTGTGTTTGTGTGTTTGTGTGCTTGTGTGCTTGTGTGTTTGAGTGCTTGTGTGTTTGTGTGCTTGTGTGTGTGCTTGTGTTTTTGCGTGTTTGTGTACTTGTGTTTGTGTGTGTGTGTGTGCGTGTGTGTGTGTGAGGGAATTTGTGTTTGGTGGTTCAAAGGCAAGGCAAACCAACACCACGGGTGCTTTCCCCTTTTTGACGTAGACCCATATGTATAGTTATGCGTTACCGGATATACATAGGGGCTTGTACGCAAATTGAGAACCCGCCCTGTCGTGCATAAAAGCAAGACGTGTTCAGGCGGTTTCGCACTATAACACAAACGAACAAGTATTATGATGAAAAAGGACACTGATATGTGTATACATATGCGTGTAGAGATGTACATGGAATTATGCATTACATGCGCACAAATAGATACGCATCCCACCTCTTTGTTCCTTTAGCTATGTTGGGAATTGACGCATTGCACGGACCGCTCAAATGAGTAATTGACGGCAGGATTTGCCGAAACCCTTGTGAGTGATACCGTATCACAAAAATCGAGGGATAGCTGCGCCCCGTTTTGGTTTGAGTTGGGACCATCCCCATTTCCGTACAAGGCGGGCGCGGGTGGTTAAAAAAATCCTCAAATCTGAGTGGCAAAACTCGGACGTTGCAATGAAGTCTGATTTGGCCCACTACTTAGGACTGAACATGTCCGCCCATGTTGCAGTGACAGCTTCTTACAATACCCAATGAACTCCATGTAGCTTTTGAAGCTTGGTTCCCTTGGTTAGGGATATACGTAAATGAAAACGCTCGGATATTCCATGCGAGCCATTCACGTGATGCCAAAGGGCAAGTCTTTCGCCAGGAGAAGAGGCCACTGAAGGCCCCGCCGTGGATCGTTCGGGTGACTTGCTGGTGTACGTGGGGAATGAGAAATGGAATGACCCGTCTCTAAACCATCCAACTGGTGGTTTCCTTTCAGGGGAATACACAGGTGCATTCCCTCATGCCATAATTACGCACTAGCAAGTGAAATCGAAGGGTGCCTTTTTCACTGTTTTAAAGGCTTGACACAGACGCATGTGTCCAGGGGTTGATTCCACATGCTCAAACATTGTGCTTTCTTTCAACAAGTTGTTTTCCATGTGCTTTGCTGAACAGAATGATCCACGAGAAAGATTCCCCTAGAATTTGAGGGGATTGGATGCGGGGACCCCCGGCCTTTCACTTAGTTTATTTTTTGTATGTTTTCCTTTTTCCGTAAGCAGGGTTCGAACAGACCTCACCAAGCATCAGCAATTTGGGCCCCCCCATGTCTCAATTTCGGGTCTGGCAGGGTGAAGCTTTGGCTGGTTCGTTTCTTTAAGTCGTTTCTCAGTTGGATGCGCAATTACGCGAACCGAATGACTAGAGAAAAGCCACATTTGCGTTCCGGCCAGCAGGGCCACTGCAAAGCTGACGGCCGAACATAATGAAGCGTGTGAGGATCAAGTTGGAGTGCCTTGTTTTCTGGGGTAGCGCTTCTGAGAGTAGTTTCTGTACATTTGTATATGTTGACAGGTGATTTCTATGAATTGTTTCAAGAAAGAGCCTGCGGACTGCTCGGATCTCCTCAGAAAATATGGAGTAAACACATGTTGATGAAGATTGGCAAACATGTGAAACACATTCAGAGCAGATTACTTTCTCTCTACAACAGATGTGGACCACTGGTCGTTTCACCCATGCCCAACCACAGGCACCTGCGCCGATTCTTGCCGATGAGCTCACTGTGATCCGAAGCGATGAGCTCCCCGAGGCAGGGCAACCGCGCTCAGCGCGCATCAAAGTACTCACGGATTGCAGATAGCTGAGCCCCTGATTGATGTACTCAAAGAACTCATAGTTACATCAAAGTACTCAAAGACTCCTTGATCGATGAGCCCCTGCCATTCTTCCGTCATTTGCGTCGCCTTGGGATTGGAATACATCTCAGCCCGTCCAGCAGGCCTTGATGCCGCGGGATCTTTTTGGGACCAGGCGGTGCAAACCATCAGGGTCCCTTATCGGGGGTCATGTTCGACCCATAAACACTCGAGTTCTCAGGCATGGCCTACGTCAGCCTTTCGCAATGTTTCCGAAGCATGAGCAGGCACTTAGCGCTGGCTTTGAAACTATGTGCGCTGCACCGCGCTGTTTGTTCCTTGAGCCACGAATGTGCCCGCAAATTACGGGTTCACACTCCCCCTGGATGTCCTACATCCACCTCGCGGTTGGCACTATTGGCCCCGCTACTCTGGGCTGCGGACGCCCAAAAGGCTATTGTGCCATCACTTCTTGTCCGCGCCCTTCTCCTGCTCCAAACTGGATGCTGCGCCACTCAAAACTATTGGTCCAGCTGTCGCTGCCCGATCTCGGCACCAACCTCGCTGACGCCCCTCCGCCGCCCCATGATCGTGCCGTAGATCACCTTCATCTCCTTGCCCATACCCCGCTTTTCCTTCTTCTTTTCCTTGACCAGCTCCCCTAGGCCTAGGGTTCCATCCTCCTTCGTGCCATAGCGCTCCCTGAAGTCCATGCAGAGGAACTCCCCGATTCCTCGCCTCCAAGAAGGCCCATCTGTCCTCCGAGAGCTGCTCCATCCTCCGATAGTACTCCATGCGCTCCGTGCCCAAGACTGACCTCGGCGCCCTCACCGGTTGCTTGCCCCCGGCACCATCACGCACATGGCACACTACCACCAAGTCTTGCTCCTGGGACTTTGCCCCGGATCTACATGACCTATTCGGTCGGGGTGCCTGCTTAGGCAAGGGTGCACCCGTCCCGGGCCAAATCCCATCGTCTGTCCCGTCATTGTCTGTCCCGTCCTCCCACGGTCCCTGGTCTCTTGGACTGCCGGTAGTCCTCCCCCCCAGGAAACCCTGTCCGGACCCTTCAAATTCAGTCCCCCCTGCGGTGCCGCTTGCCGCCGTCTCTTTCGGTGGGCCCTGAGCCTCTTTTTGCGGTCCTTTCGTTTCTTGACTGGGTTCTTCAACCGGTCCTTTTACTTTCTTCACCTTTGTCCCACAGGCCTTCTTGGTGATCTCCCAAACCACCACCGCCAGAACCGCCACCACCGTGAGGATCAACTCCACCGGGATCGACTCCTCATCGATGTTCACCACATCCTCTGCCATTGCCCCTGCCGCCAGGCTGAGCATGCCGATCACCGCCTTCAGCTTGTCAACCACCAACCATCCTGCCGCTCCGAACATGCCGTTGGACTTGCTCCGCAGCACCTTCTTCACCTTCCTCTCCTCCAGAGTATCCAGGCCCATTCCTCTCCTGCATTTTTCAAACTGGGTCCTGGTCAACGCCTTCGTGAGGCCATCCGCCGCCAAAAGAGTTCCCGGAAGGTGCCTCAAGCGCCAGTCCTCTTCCTCAATGAGCTCCGTCAGCTTCCCTGCCCGGCACTTCAGATGCCTTGACCTCCACGCGCACGCTGGCGTCGTAATGATGCTGATGGCCGCCGCATTGTCTCCCAAGATCATCTTCCGAACCTTCTTCACCTCCAACATCTCCACCAACGATGACACCGCCTCTCCGATAGCGGGCTCCGCCTCTGCCGTGGACATCGTGGTGTACGCCTGCCTTGTGGACTCCCACGCAATGATGCCTCCTCCATACATCACCATTACTCCCTGAATGGACCGTCCTCCTCCTGGTGCAAAACTCACGTCCGCCTGAATCTCCAGCGTTCCCATCTCCTGGGCCCCCGGGAATTCGGCTTCCCCTTCTCTCGGCTTCATTTCCTTCTTGTAGATGATGCCGACCTCGTCCGTCTCCTTCAAATAGCCCAGGATCTGCTTCGCCGCCCGCAACGCCTGCTTCGGATTCCGCGCCACCATCCTGGACGCTTGACCCACTGCGAACGCCACATCCGGCCTCGTTCGGGTCGAGACCCACAACAGCTCCCCTAGAGCTACCTGCGCCTCCCGAACCTCATCCGCAGTCCTATCTCCTTCTTCCTCCTCGGACAACTCCACCTTCGCCGCCGGCACATCAAAGCTCTTCACCTCGGGGTATCTTCCCACCAGGTCCCGGATATACGCCGACTGCCCCAGCCAGAATCCCCCTTCCTTCTCGCAGATCTCCATTCCGCAGAACGTAACCGGAGTGCTCCCTTCCACCACCTCCGGGGCAGATGTCTTCCACTCCTGCTGCAGTCTCTGCATGAAGCCCTTCATGACGTCCTCCTTGGCCGCCACCAACATATCGTCCACATACACCACGATGTTCCCCACCGTGGCCCCGGACTCCACCTCCCTGATTGCCCACAGGTTTCCCTCCAGCGGGTGTATCTTGAACTCCACATCATTGACCCGCCACCCAAAACTTGCCATAGTCTTGTCCCTGTGGCAACCCCAGTCCTTTGGGCTTGTGTTCAGCCCATACAGCGCCTTCAAGACCAACCACCGCTCTCCTTCCTTAGTGACCCCAGCCTGCCCAAAGATCTTGGGCGGGGTAACCACCAGCAGCTTCTGCCTCTGATTTGGCGCCTGCAGGAACGCAGTCTTCACGTCCACCGTTCCCACCTT